GAGCGGCAGCGCATGCAGGCGGGTGGACTTTAAAAAAGCGGGAGGGGGTGCGGGGGAGGGCGCAGCGCCTCCCCTGTGGACTCCGCGGGGTCGTCGGTTGCTCTGGGTAACTAGACAATAAGATTGTAGTAAACAGTGGGCGCCAAGCGTGGCAGCGGAGCTCTCCCCCAAACCGGGTGCTTTCTTCCGAAACCTATACACTTTGCACCACGCTTATCCCCTCATGAACCATCTTTCTGCTGTACTGCGCTCCGCTCACTCTTGGGCTGTCCCTTTGCCAAACCGTTTTGGCTTCGCGTCGCCGCCTGTGCAGCTGAGCGAAGCGAGGCGAAGCGGGCGGGGACGTACGAAGCCAAAACTGTTTGAGAAAGGGACAGCGCAAGAGTGAGCGGAGCGCAGTACAGCATGAGGGGATAAGCGTGGTACAAAGTGTATAATAGGTTTCACAAGAAAGCGCCCGGTTTGGGGGAGAGCGGAGCGATGCGAGCGAAGCCAGCCGACTTGGATTCTGTGACGACGGAGAGCGCTGCCAGCTGAAATCGTAACGTTAAACGCGAAAGACCTTGGGTCTCTAAGCGACCAGCAGCGCATGCAGGGGGTGGGCCTTTAAAAAGCGGGGGGGCGCGGGGGAGGGCCAAGTACCTAAAAACAATCTCCGCGAAAGTTATATGCGAAGGCGGCGAAAAATAATGCCATGAGTGTATGGACCACAAACAACCTTCAAAAACTATTAAGATATTAAGGTAATGAAACAAATATATAAACTCAAGAAAGTCTAACAATTAACAATAATAGTCATTAAAAAACATATGTATCTATTGAATATTGTTTTAAAACAACTATGTATAAATAATGAAATGACATAGATATATTTTAATTCGGCATTGCCGCAATATAGACACAAAAGGTCAAAATAGTATACACAAAAGCTAATGTTAGATTAAATCATTGGTTTCAAACGTTATGATCAGTTTATACCTTGGACTTAGCTTTGACTTCGCTTCGACTTATAAGTCACTTATAAGTGACAGCTAAGTCCAACTTAGACTTAGCTTACTTAGCTGTGACTTAGCTAAGTCAGACCTAAGTACTTACTAATTCGTATTGGCTTAGCTAACTTAAAGCTAAGTCGAAGCTAACCCTGATAGAGGTTAGTAGACTTAAAGCCAAGGTTATAAGTAGGTTAGGACTACTTATAACCTAGGTTATAAGTCGAAGCTAACCAACCGCCGGGCAAGCAGTTCAGACAGGATAGATCAAACGAGCGAAGTTTTGACCCTTTCTTCTCCTTGTGCCGTTTCCTTTCTTTTCATTTCCTATTTCTTTTCTTTTTGCGAGAGCCGGCCGCACGCTAGACTTTGGAAACAATACACACTTTCTAGGGAACAATAAACACCCTTTCACTTTTTCACACAAACCCGGAACGCTGGGAACAATACACACCTTTCAGGGAACAATAAACACCAGCGGCCCCACAAAACACCATTCAGGGCCTGAAAAACACCAGCCGGGCACGAAAAACACCGCGGCGTACGGGAACGAAAAACACCAGGGGAACAAAAAACTCCCAGGGAAGGAAAAACACCCGAGCGGGAAGCCAACACCTCCCGGGAAGGGAAAACACCATTCAGGGAACGAAAAACCCGCAGCCCATCAACCTCCTCCCGCCGAATCAAGGAGGCAGTCGGACCTTCAATGCCGACGAATTTGACGATGAGCTACGTAGGGACCAGCACTAATAACTCGCTTGCCCGTCACAGGCTGGCACCTCAGTGTCAGTCCTGAGACAGCTCAACCTAGTCAATCGGAGGCAGATCAAGAACAGGCCACAATGGCTATGCAGGAGGATGTACAGGACTTTGGTGAGGCAGGGCTTCAGATTCCTACAACGCCAACTTTGCCTTCAGCTTCAGCAAAAGATGTACCAATAGAAGATGACACAGAGGGAGAGAACCAAAGCAGGAGGCAGCAAGAACGAGTCCAAACTCAAGCCCTACTGCTCAGTTGTTCCCCCGCATTTTGCAGGAATCATCAACAGGGTGGTCAATGACTGTCAGTAGGAGCAAGACCTCTATGACGACCTCGATGAAGAGGAGATGGCGTTGGAGACTTTCGAGAATGAGGAGTATGAGGACATGGAAGAACTCACAGACAAAGGACAACCACCTGAACTTTCCTTCGAGGAGTTGGAGAAGGTAGAAGCTGAGGCAGGGATCACAGAGATCACAAGACTCCTAGCTATGGGAGTCATGGAAGACCCGTCTCCTGAAGAAGAAACTCATGGCAAACTTCTTTCAACGCCGCGCAGTGTGTTTGATTGGAGGTTCCGCGATGGCAAGTGGCGCAGACGATGCCGCTATGTTGCTCGAGAGTTCAAAGCGGGAGACAAAGGGAACTATGGAACATTCGCACCCACCAGTCACAATGCAGCTACAAGACTCATGGTTCCTTTGCATTGTGTGAGGAGATGGTTCCTATGCCTCCTGGACGTGAAAGATGCTTTCTGTTGGTTCCACAGCAGGAGATGATCCTGGTACAAGTTCTTCCATGGTGGACCAAAGCTTCCTCTCAATGCTGGGGTTTGCGGAGATGCCTCCTAGGACAAAGCCACAAGCTGAGAAGATCAGGGTCGAAACGATCTATGATGCTGGATTTTTCCCAGAGTACTTGCGCAAACAATTTTTGCAGCTCTTGGCCGCACGAGGCAATCCAGAAGAGCCAGGACTGCAATTTGACTATGCCATGATGTACGACATCTATGACAGAAACTACCGCAAGATGTTCAGAGACCTTGTGAATGGAGAGTATGACCAGACATGGGATGCCTTCGTAGAAGCATGGCACAACCGAGATGAAGATCGAGACCACCTGATTTTCACAGAAGAAGAGCTCGCGCAATAGGGTGCTTAGAGTCAAAAAGAGACTCACGCAAGGCAGGGTGTCAGACATTTTGCATGCGCCTGATCATGCATATAACCGCCCGCAGTGGCTCACTAGCTGGAGTGAAAAGGAGCGATGAAGCTGCCAAACAGGAACAACTGCCGGGCGGTCGTCGCCTGACGAAGACGGCAGCAAGGCGGGACCGAAGAGCAGTGGGGCAAGACGAGCGGAGGCCTTAGCCTCACGAAGTTGCTCCTTAGTGAACAATGGCTGCGTGACCTGCAGCGCTGGAGTCCAGGAGGTGCAAGTGGCGCCAGACTGGTCGGCCTTCCCTTCGGCCGTTCCTCTGCCTAGCTGTCGTGCACTATCTTTGGAACCACCGCTCCGAAACACTTCCAGTTCGGTGCGTCCCGTGCCGGACCTGGTGGGTGGTTGATCGAGCCGGAGCGCGCAATTCCTTTTTCACTTCTTCTTTCTTTCATCATGTTTTCCAATTCCCTTTTCCATTTTCACTTCACCTTCTTCCCCCATTCCCTGAGCAGCATCGTGCTCCAGGTCCTCTGGTTGAGGAAGCGCCATCTGCTGCTCCATCGTGCGCCAGCGGCGAAGCATGTACAGGCGGTTGGACTAACAGATGATGAACCCTCAAACATTGGGCTCATAACCTGTTGATCTAGGGGCATGGTCTTCACCCCAGCAGTTGAACAAAGCTTCAACCCCAAAAACAAAACTGCGACACCTGTTTTCCTTCTCTTCGCAAGTGCTCTTTGTGGACCGTGGTGGACCCTTCAGGACCATGTGATCCTCTTGGTCTTGTACAATGGGCTGCATAAACAGCTCATGAAAAGCGTGTCATCCATGTGCAGGGGCTATGCATCAACAAACACAAAGTTCACCAGAAACTGCTCAAACAAAAAACAAATAGACCCACCCGATCATTCCCATGACAATGAGTTTCGTTTCCTGCGCCGATTGCAAACATAGAGCCAATTGCGGTTGATTTGTTTTTGTGCATTTGGAAGGACAACAGGAAGGGGTGCAAATTAAATACGAACTTCTATTTTTTATGGAAGACCACCGCGATTCAGCTTGGACACTGAGAGACAACTTTTGTTTTTCCTTCCATATTTGATTTCCAATGTACTGTGATCGCAACGCAGCTGTTAGCAGCACAAACTCTTGCTATTCTGCCATGATTGCCAGCTTTCAAACCATGCAAAACATTCTTCACGCTTGAGTGAACGCAGTGCATACATGGCTAACATGCACAAATATCTTGCACATATCTTTGGAAACTGACGTTCCACACATTCTAAACGGCAAAATTTGGTTGGATGGAATCCAGGCTTGTTTGCTTGAAAGTCGCAGAGTGCTAGCCAGTGTGCGTTTGCAGAGTCGTCAGGCTGTGGAGGAAACTTTTCCGTTTCCGATGACGCGTAAGACTGTTGAAAGTTCTGCTCCGTGCTTATTGCCTGCTTTTCGGATTGTTCTGTAGCTTTTGCTGACTCTGGCAATTTGAATATCTTCAAACAAGGTTCAGCAGGTTCAATCTCATGAAGACCATTGGCTTGCCCAGTTCCTTGGACTGAACAAAAGGGGGAAGAAGTTGAGAACAGGAGCAGAAGGAAAGACATAAACATGAGAACTTTTAGTAATTTTCAACTGATTCAAGTGTGAAGGTGGGTATGCAGCCTATCCGTGATCATATTTTTGATCGCGTTTGGGCTGTCTGGCCAAGTCCTTCCAAGGCGAAGGGACACAGGGCACATCACTTGAATGCAAATCAGCACAGATCAAGTTTGGTTTTTGATTGAGTTCAAGTCACAAAGGAATCGAAACATATATATTGTTTTTGGTGAGGCCGTTGTCATGTCAATGTCACTTTGGTGCCTTAACCGTTGGGGACTGTCCCGACCTGCAACAGTCATATATAAAGCATTCTACTATTTTTGGTCGAGGCCGCAACCAACCATGACATTCACCATCACATTCGCCGTTTGCAAGGGTGCGTGCAATGTCTATATAACATAAATGTGTACGTGTACCGATGGCAATCCAGGTTCGTGGCAAACCAGTGCACATCTGAGCAAGGAATGTGCACGCCGGAGACTAAGGAAAAAGAAATGTTGGGTGCCCGCAAAGCCATAAAGTTGCAGTTTGGGTGTTGCTTCATTTGTTCACCGCTTGCTTGACAAGTCAAGTTTTGAGACAGAAGATCCTGTGTGAAAGCTTCGCCATGGCCCAGCCATCCCTTGGTGAAGTGCATCGTCAGATGCCAAATCCCGATGACTTGAAAAACTTGGTGAGATACAAGGGACCAAGCAGCGACCAAACAGTGTTAAAACAAGCTAGCACAAATTCAGAGCTGCAAAAGGCCGTTGAGGCTGGAGATCTCAACATGGCACGCTCACTTTTGCGCTATGGTGCTGCGAAGCGCTGTGTGAATGTCAATGCACCTCTCTATCCCAAAAGAGAGCGATTGCTTCATTTGGCAGCTCGAAAGGGGTCACGTGATTTGTGCATCTTGTTGTTAGAAGCAAGGGCCGAGATCGATGCGGAGGAGATCTCTGATGGCAAGCAACCCCTACATGAAGCCTGCAAACATGGTCACCTTGACATTTGCGAATTGCTGCTAGACCGCAAAGCACGCATTGAGGAAGCCAACTTTACAGGGTTCAAACCCTTGCATTGGGCTGCTTCCAGTGGCCATGTGGATATTTGTGATATGCTTCTGGATCGGAAAGCCATTCTTCATTCTGCATCGGGAGACACGTGGGAGGCGATACACCATGCAGCCGCTCATGGTCATGCAGAGGTGGTTCGATTGCTTTGCGAGAGGGGTGCCAAACCAGATGCTGAAACGGGAACTGGCCAGCCAGCTGTGCGCTTGGCATGCCTCAGTGACCATACAAAGGTGGTAAAGACCCTTCTTGACTTCGGTGCTTTGTTTTGCATGGAAGACTTCAGTGCTGAAGGAGTTCTTCGAAGATGTCAAGGAACCGAGATCGAAGACTTGGTCCGAGAAGTTGGACGTTTGCGCTTTGAGTTGGATGAAGCCGAAGAGATGTCTGACATTGGCCATGCGGATGATGCAGCGGCATTGTTTGCCGGGGTTTATGCAGCTTTCTGCAGTTTAGGCATGCGTGTCTCCGCTGCATCAGTTCGGCGCGATGCTGCCAGGTTGCAAATTGACCTTCCGGATCTCGAGCCACAAGACCAAGCATGATGAACGACTCAGACCTCCGCAAATAGTATAGTCGTAAAAGGGTAGCGTGGCAATCCTTGGCACATGCGCTTGAGATGTTAAGAGATTTATCAAATTGCCTTGACTGCTGAATGCTATTGAATGTTTGTTTGCTGCAAGGCCAGGAGAATGCACCTGCCCCTTCCCTTTGATGAAGCGGGATATGGTAACCCAGGAGAGAAAGACAGACAAATTGCATGGTGTTTTGTTGCAAAAGGCATTCAAAATTCCTCAAGAAAAAGGCTCTCAAGATTGCTTGGCTTTTCTTGGTCCTGTTGGTCGTGGACTGTCATCTCCGCGTCTCAGGACGCGCAAGCCTGTTCTCAGTGTGTTGAGGAGTTTTGCCCAGCCTGGAACCTATAGTGTCTTCAAACATATCCAATAACATTTCTGTATTGGAACAAGCTGAAGTCCAGTTTCCTGCTTTGCTGAAATGACAAAGGCTGTGACGCAGGGAGATTCAGCATGCTCCACATCCGTCGTATTCTTAGCCTTCTTTCTGGGCTAAATGTCTTGGAACATTTCTTGCTTTGGCAGACGAGCGGTGTGCGAAGCATTTGTGTGGAACAGTGCAAAAAATTGCGCCAGCAGAAAAGAACGCACATTTAGCAGCTACTCGTACGGTATTGAAGACACCACCAAGAGTACTGATCCCACAGAGCTTGGACACCGTGCAAACACTAGCACAAAAGCATCAACCAAAATTGACTCTAGGGGCTCAGACTGAGGACCTAGACTCAGACTCAGACCATGGCCCACCACAGGATTCAGCTGAGATGAAGTTCAACCGCACGGGCAATCCACAATTGCAGCGACAGACAATAAGCAATGACTATAGTGACTAGTGCAACAGTCGCCCAACGAAATTGGCATTTCTTGCCGGGTTAAGTTTGCGGACAACGATTTCTTCATGTCAGACAGCGATTTCTTGCGGCTCTAGGCGTGCGAATGCGAAGATGCATCTTGGCCCAGGATACTCTGTTGCTTCTCGGTCTCCAACCTAAGAGCGATGACCTCCAACCTAATAATGTAGACTCTTGATTAAAAAATGTCCGCATATGCAGAGGATTTCCAATTCAATTGGGGTGGGTTTAGTAATCAAGAGTCTACATTAGCGATGGCCTCCAACGTAAGAGCGATGCTCCAACGTAAGAGTGATGACCTAATAGCGATGGCCTCCAACCAAATAGCGATGACCTCCAACCTACTGCAGGATTCGCAGCACTACCCCATTCCAGGATAGATGTTGGATCTCCCGAAAAGCCGTGCTGGCAGTGCGTCAAAGGCTAAGTGCTGTGTAAGCACTTTTGAAACGCCTGGAAGTGCTGTTCGAATCAACAAGTAAAGAAGCAGCACTGCTACTCAGGTCCATCCACACAAGGATATGACCTTGCGTTGAGCTCTCAGAAGCCGGCGATATCTGAAGAAAGGGGGCCGAAAGCTTTTGATTTTTGGTTGGCACTGACACCTTGGAAGACTATGAGAGGTCTTCCATTTTGAGTGCTGGAGGTGGCGAGGATGGGGATTGCCTTGACTTGGGACAGAAGCCTGGGACAAATAGAACTTGTGCGCTTGCTGTTTGTTTCTAAGCCAACTTACCTCGTTCAGCTTTGGGAGAGGTACCATCTTTCGATACACTGGCGCTGTGATGCTGGATAAGAGCTCTGGCTCCAGCAGCTGCTTGTACCTCAGGGAGCTTAGCTTGTGACGTCTCCAATGGAGCTATTGATGCTGCGAGAGGTCTTACCTGGTCGAGCGACAGCTGGCAGATCATGCCATGTCAAGGCCGCAGAAAGATTATTTTGAACATTATCTGAAATAATTTACATTTTGCACTTTGCACTCTCGGTGTGAGTCCTTTTAGGTGCCCTTTTTAGGTCCTCTTCTCATCACGTGATTCATGGCGTCTCCATCTTGGGAGGCTCGCCCGACAGCTCCGGTAAGTTCACGCAGCGCAACTCTCCCGACGAGGCAAGGCTTTTTAAAGTCAGTTTGCAGGATACGGCCGCTAGCCCCCGCTAGCCGCCCGTTAGCCGCCCGCTAGCCGCTACGTCGCACAGGACATCTTTTGTACCAGCAGAGGGAAGCAATGCCTGCACGTCAAAGAGTGCGCTTGGCTGTGACGTTCCTTCGGCCTGGCATCGCGTAGGTTAGGAACAAGTGCATCGCTACTAGTAACAGGTGCCTTACTAGTAGTAACAAGAAGCTATTAGGAACAAGTGCATCGCTACTAGTTGCAGTAGACTTGTCGAAGTGAACATGTTTGCCCTCGAATCAGTGTTCCTTGAACACCTTGGAAGGTACATGTGCACCGCAGATCCTTCTCAGTGCAGTACAGGGGTGTGCCGTTGTGAAGATCCCACACACGTTCGAAAGGCCTGGCTCTGGAGGGAAGGTGTTGTGAAAGTCGGGAAGCAGATTCTTAGATTCACCGATTTGTGTGACAAGCAGGCTTCCCAACTTTCTTGATTGATTAGGAGATGCAAACAGTCAATGGGTCCGCGTGTTACTTGTGCTGGGCTGAGATATGTCAGACATGTTTTGGCCAAGCTTGAAGCCTCTTCAACATTCTCATCGCACATAGTTGAGGTGTTCTGCACCTGTTCGAGAGTGCCCCTTGCTGCTTGGATCAGTTGCTATTTTATTAAAAGGGCTTCGTGAGGTGCCAACAGTTCATTGGGTGAGATTCAGCACAAATCAAACTGCTGCTGGGGTTGAAGAGGCATTTTCCGCAACTCAGGTTTCCTGAACAATGCTCATCCGAGCCCTGTGAGTGCAAGCCGGGCTTTTTCAAGGTGCGCTCGATTCGTCGAGATGTAGTAGAATATTGTTGAGTTACTGTATGTTGTGTTGAGTTGTGTTGTTTGTATAATACATATAGTATAATACAATATACTATATATATAAAGTATCGATTTGCACGCATAATAATAATGACGGAAGAGAAGTTGACTTCAAGTGATATCCAGATCTGCACTCATCTCTCTGCCAGGCTAGGCCGAAGTCTGATGAGGCTTGCTTTAGCTAAGCACTCAGTTGGCATCGCCAAGCAGCATGTACTTGGTTGGGACGCTGGTACTTCTCAGGATATGATATTTTGCCTCCCAGAATAGCTCCTTCTTTGTTTTGAGAATCTGACTATATGGGCTGCAGATATGCCAGTAGCTGAATTTTGTATGTTTTTCCCAGGCTGTCAACCAGGTGTCGCGCCATCTGCAGCAGGCTCTATGTGCTTTCGTGTTCAATTCGTGGTAGTCATGACATGTGTTTGTTCGTATTCCCAGGATTCACCTCCCTTTTGGGATTCCTGTCAGCTGGAGCTACGTGCGCAGCTGAGTTCGCTTGCCTTCACTCAGCTTCCAACCCCTTCTCTGTTCGACTCCACGAATGGACGAGGTTTTTGTTGTGTGTGGCTCTGGGAGTCGTAGTTGGATGTGCCATTCGCCGATTCATTGTCAGGAGCTCAGTGAAATTCGATAAAGCAGGAAATTCATTGTCAGTGCTAGCCAAAGTGTCCAGTCTACCGCCGAGTGTTTTCAAGGTCGGTGATCCAGCTCCGAATGCCCGACGACGACGACGTGGCTCTCAACCAAGGAGCAAAGTTGTGAGTAGTCTGAAGCGTGAAGCAGAAAAAGCAACATATATATATATATGGATACATCATTTCATTGATACAACATGACTAAAAAGAAAGCAACATGTATTCCAATCTGTGGAGCCTGTTGGGTCGGGAGATGGTCTCAGTGTCCCGGGCAGGAGCTGGTCAGAGAACTGTGCATTGTACCTGGAAGACGCAATCCAGGTGAGTTCTCACGACGACAGAATGTCCTCGTTGTTCCAGGGTTTCTTCTTTTGCATTGAGTCCATTCATCCACTTCATCCACTTCATCCACTTCCTTCGCACCAAATCCAGTTCTTTCGGCCGATCAACCAAGCCAATGTCTCGCTCGAGAAAGGTGGTCTACGAGCGAGTTGGATGCTGGAAGCCTGCACCCGAGACGTGGATCATGTTCGAAGGATTTGTTCTCTTCTCCAAATCAGGCCTCTGAAGCGTGTGAGCTGGGCGGTGTTTGCGGCTCAGGGTGGTGGGATTTCCTTGGAGTTTTGTTGGGTTGGCTGAGACGTTCCACGATATCGGAAAGGGCTGTGAAACTTACCAGACCTGCACAGGCCGCATATGCTACTGTTTTCAGCTCCTGCAAAGCCTGAGGCGAAAAGTTGTATCACTCTTGGATGCTTGCGACGCGGCCCTGGATCCTGTCTATGGAGTTTTGGAAGCGGGTTTGGCCTCTTGAATGCACTTCTTGTGGTATGGAGTCTCCCCGCTTTCTCTGGCCCCTCTTGATGCATGCGACAGTCCAGACCTCACAATGGGATTGCCAAGCACCAAGCTGCAATGAGCCAATATGAATCTGGAACTTCCCTGTTCATGATCTCAACGCGTTTGACCCACTGCTGCTTTGGGTTGTACCAAATCATGCACTCCTGATGGTGCGACCAAGGACAAACTGCAGCACTCACTTGGTGTTGGGGTCCAGAAAGCCAAGACGCTGATGGGACAGGCGATGTTGTGCGACAGACCGCTGTGCGACAGGTGTCTTGAGTTCGTTGGTTTGGGGCACCAGGTGTTGGAAGAGTCCCTTGTACAGAGTCTAAGGTCACATGCATTTAATGTTTGCTGCAGGCAGACACTGGCAACAAGTCGTTAGCCCAGCTTTATTGCTCCAAGGAATAGGTGAAGGATTAGGTGTAAGTTGTGGGTTTTGTCTTGATTCTTGGTTCGTGTTACCCGTTCCAAGGATAGTGAAGACGAAGAAAGCACGGGACGCGCGTGAGAAGGATAGTCGCCCAGGCCATGGTCCGAACAGAATTTATGTGTGAAGTTTCACCAACTTAAGTTTCCCTAAAAATCTAGGAACCAGATGAATAGTGCGAGTGCTTCCTTGAAGAAGCGTTAGCTATCCTGCGTCCTGTCGTGTCGGTAGTAGCTACTTAAGCTACTAGCTACCGTTTGC